AAGAGCGCTCGCTTTGTAAGCGAGAGGTTCAGAGTTCGACTCCCACCATGTCCCTGGAAGTACCGCGCTCAACTTAATTTCTCCGCGCAGCGGCCTTGCTTGTCAAGGTTCGTGTTTCGGAGTTTAAGAGTTGAAAAAGGGTTATACCACGATTTACAACAAAAAAAAAAAATGAGTAGCCTCCTCGACTGTAGTGGCCCCCTCGGACCTTGGGGAGGTGAATAATTTAAAAAAAAAATACATATATATATATATATATATATATATATATATATATATATATATATATATATATATATATATATACATATGGGTTCAAAATTAGCGCCAAAACATATCCCATTATGTTTGATTAACAATACAAACACTAAAAAAAGTTTTTTATTATTTTTTTTATTACTGAGTTCACCTCCCCAAGGTCGAGGGGACCACTAAAGTCAAGAAGGTTGCTATTTTTTTTTTTTTTTTTACTTTTTCTTATTTCACTGCGTTATAAGTAAGTCCGAATTACAACAACAAAGATGTTTTTAACATTTTTTTTTATTAATCAATGTTCATAAAAAAACACCTCTGAAGCTTATGTGATAATAAAAAGAAAGTTACATCTTTATAGTAAAAGCAACAATTTTTCATGCACCGTAGAATTTCAGGCCACCAGGCCTCATTTCTTATCAATTTTTTAAGACTTAAATCAATCCGACACTGATTTGTCAAATTTTCTAATGCTGTTTTCCACTTAATGTAACAGTCTCGATGATTAAGATTGTTTTGTAAAAAACTAATTCAGGTACCTTCACATTATGCAAGTTTCATGGAAAAGATAAAGGACTTTGAGGAGGCCCTCTAAGAACTACAGCATCGCGCTCTACAAATCCTGCTGTGTGAATTGAAGCAAAATCTTCAATCCACACAGCAGGATTGTTGGTAGTAAATGGCTTGTTCATTGGCATTTCCTAATGTTTCAAATAAAGAGATAAATAATCATCTTTTTTTCAAAACTTAACAATAATTAAAAAGTTTCTCATAAAGCAAAGTTAAAAATATTTTTTAGCAGCCTTTTGAATAATTATGCCTTTATAAACAATCAATGATTTTGTTTATTGCTCCTTATATTAAAATTAAAGTTACTTGGTTACCCGATTAGCCGGTTGTTAACTAGATTTCAGTAGTTCATATGTATTAATTGATAATTTATATGTATGAATAATAACTATCAACATATTTAAAAAAAGTTTTAACAAACAACTTTGGTCATTGTGCGCTCCTTCTGATCCTGCGCCCGGGTAAAAATTATCCAGTGACCCCTCCCTCGCGGCGGCTATTTATTTATATATATATATATATATATATATATATATATATATATATATATATATATATATGTATATATATATATATATATATATATATATATATATATATATATATATATATATATATATATATATATATATATATATATATATATATATATATATATATATATATATATATATATATATATATATATATATATATATATATATATATATATATATATATATATATATATATATATATATATATATATATATATATATATATATATATATATATATATATATACATATATATATATATATATATATATATATATATATATATATATATATATATATCCCAGTAGGCACAAGAACGTTTTGCGTTTTCTAATGGTCCCGTAAAAACGTTTTTAATGGTTTTTTGAAGGTCCATATGAAACGGTGAGCAGACGTTTTTTAAAAACGTTTTGTGAAAGTTTTTTAATTTTATTGGTTTTTTGAAGGTCCATATGAAGCAGTGAACGGACGTTTTCCTGAAAAGGTTATTTATTGGTTTTTATTACGTCAAAATGAAACATTTTGTCGTTTTTAACATTTTTTTTAACAACCTTTTTTCTAAGTATCAGTTATTTAAGTAAATAACTTATGTTTTACAGAAAAAAAACCTTTTCACAAATGAAAACTTAGGTCTAAAAATCTAGATTCGGAATTAATAACTAAAAGTTTTATCATTTTGTGTTTATTTACAATTTAAGCATACAAAAACATAATAAAGTAGTTTTTTTTTGCTATTCTAAAAGCTATTTATTCTATTATTCTCTTCAAACAATCGCTTTTCAACTTATCGACCAAATCGATATTTGCTGTATGTGACACTAAAGTTTCTAAAAAAGAAAAATACCATAGAAATTTTTCACGCATTTCACTAGCATGTAAAAAATTTGAAAATATATATATATTTCCGAATGGTCTAAGTAGTAATAATTTTCAAATAATTAAAAATTTTTTGACAACATGTTTCATCAATACCAATTGACATCATGAGGTATAAAAAATTAGTCACAACTTCTGTATATAAACAATTTTTTTGGCTACATTAAAAATTTAATAGTTTTTACAATAGTTACCATAGTTACATTTTATAAATTCAATTATAACAATGAAATTTTATAGAGGATTATACGAAAGGTATTTAGTAATTAATAATAAACAAAATAAGATATAAAAAGTAAAAAAATTGAGAAATCATATTTGTTATAGCAATAGTGTATGATTTATTTGTGTATTAAGAAAAGGTTTTTCCATTTCAATATGTATACCTTCATTAATATTGAGCTCATACTTGGAGGAAGCTCTGTCAATAATGGAAAAGCAATCAAAATTTGTTGAATTTTTAGATTTTGTGATGAATTGACATGTTTGTGAACATGGAGGCCTTATCTAAATTTAAATATTTTGAAATCCTTGTTGTGTAGTGTCTGATGGTTTCACTAATGTATCCAGCATTACAGCTGGAACATACAAATTTATAGACAACAAAGGATTTTAAATTTGAGGGTAAGGGGTCTTTCAATAAAAGCATACTACATATTTTAAAAGGTGTAAAAACTAGTCTTGCTTTTATATTATCTTTACAATATTTATTAATATATTTATTTAATTGGTGTTGAAGTGTATTTATATGAAATTTGTCAAGTGTAAGAGAGTTTAAAGTAATATATATCAGATGGTTTTGAAGATGACATGTTTTCTTTAGGAGAGATAAGGTTGTTTAGTAAATTTTTTTTGGGAATTTGTTTTTTAAAAATTGAAAAAACTCTCCAAAAAAATTATTTTCTCTTGAACTTAATTGACAAAACCTTGAAATTAAAAAAAAATTTAAAGAAGTTATATTAAAATCTGTTTAAAACATAATGCAGCACTATCAGGACAGTTTTCAGTCAGTTTTTGCTGATTTTTGCGTAGGTTTAAAAGATTCTATGCCATTAAATACCTATGCTTTATTTTGGGAGTACGCTAGCGCTTAACTCTCTCAACTAATCAAAAAACGATGGCGACCAAAAACTTCCTAAGAAAGACCACAGCATCAATTACGATGACAGCAAGTCGTTGAGATATTTTTCAAAGTTTATTGTCACCACCACTGTTTGTATGCATACTTTTTGTTTTATAGTTAATATTTTGTTTTGTAAGTTTTTGTTTGGTGATATATTTGGATGGTGTAACGGCCAATTGGACTAACCCTTCAATTTTCGGTTTTTGTCATTATTCTGTTTCTGCATTAATAAGACAATTTATAACCAAGTGGACTAATCCATTAACAACATAGATTATTTTTAAAAATTATTATTACTATTATTTTTTTAATTAAATATAATTTATAATTAATTAAAAAAACTGTTTCCTGAACAATTTCGAAAATTGAGGTTAGTTCACTTGGCCTTAACACCACCCATTTGTTTTATACTTTAGTTCATTTTATGTTTAAAAATTTTTTTTATCTTTTTTTATTTTTGTAAATATCTGTCTTATTTTTATCATCGTATTGATGTATTTATTATTATTATTAATATATTTTAAAATAATCTTAATTTTTGACTTGACAACTGCCAAAATATGTTTGTCCTCTTCTCTAATGCACTTTATTCTACCCTTAACCGTTCACTGCTAAAAGTTAGCACTAAATGTTTTTTTTTTTTTTAATTAGAATCTTTTAAACATTTCTTTGGTGAACTAGAAGTACTTCTAGTACTCCACATTTGCTGTTATCTTTTTACTTCATTCTTCCCAAATTTTTAACTTAATGACCAAGAAATCTCTTTAACTTTACTCATAGTCTTTGTATTTGTATAAACTTATATTTCAAACTTGCTGTTTGAAATACAAATTTATTCTACAACTTCCACAAATTTAAGTCAGAAGAGAAGTTATGTTCAAACTGAATTCAGGATCAACAAAATCTTTGATCAGTTAAATCAATGACTTATTTCCCTCAGATAGAAATTTTTTGTCTCTATTGGCACAAAAGAAACAGATCGATATCTTATTTTTTGAATGAAGTCTTGTGCTTTGCAGGTTTATTTTAAAAAAAACGCTTCAAAACGTTTAGTTTCATTTTTGAACGCTTTTGTTTAGTATTTTTATCTTGGATTATTTAATTTTATTAATCAACATTTAAACGAATTTGTTTGTTAGAATATTTATAAATAAATATTCTAACTTTTTTTAAATACAGTATTTCGCTGAATTTTGTTGCATTATTTTTTCAGATTCCTTTTTCTCGAATTGATTAAACACAGAATCAAGTAAATTTTTAGGTAAGTAAATGGCATTTCAATTAAATGGTTTTTTTTTTACTGAATTTACTATTTATTGTAAGCTCATCTTCAGTGTGAGTTACGGGTTTAAAACTTGGTAAGTTGACAAGAGTAGTTTTTGCAAAATCAACCCATGCAAAAACTGTGAAAGTAACACTGTGAAAGTAAACTGTGAAAGTAACTCCTTCTGAAAGCTGCTCATAAGGCTGCAATTTAATGATTTTAATTAAAGTTTTAAAGAATTAATGAGTTGTTCGTAATATTTTATGTCCAATAAAGTGTTTAAAAATTTTACATAACATTTTATAGAACAAATTAATACAGAATGAAATTATATTCAAGAAATAAACAATTCATTGACAATTTTTTTATGAACTTTTCAAAGCAATGTCACCTTTAATTGCTGAATTAGCTAAAAGCAAGCCAATTGGTGCAAGGATAAAAAACCAAACTGTTTTTACATTTTTCATATCTACCCCTAAGACTTTATAACCAGTTCCAGCATGTTTATGAAAACGTTCAAGTCTTTGTGAAAATTTAAGGACTTCCGCAACACTATTAAATGGTGAATTCTCATTTGTTTGTGAACAGTGGATTGTCAATACTGACTGAATGATTTTAGCTTGGTTTTTGGAAACATTGATTAATTTTGACCATTGTAGTAAAAATAAATATACCACCTCAACTGCGCTTGAAAGAAAAGTTAAAAAAATGTTTAAGATGACAGAAACTTCGCTAGATGTCTCACGAGAAACCGTAGATACATTCTTTATAAAAGCGTACACGGCAAGAACACCCCAAATAACAGTAGTACCTATTGACATTGATAAGTAAAGATGCACTTTTTTTGCTGAGTCGTATATTCTTGTGTGAATTTTAACATATTCGTAGAAAACGTCATCAGCAGAGTTTAATGTTTTTGGAAGAGTTTTTCTAAATTCTTTAAGCTCGAAGCATTGCAGATAGGTAATAAAAATCAAGTAGTAAAGAAATGGAAGCGATGCAACTCGTGTATATACCATCACTAAAAGGTCTAAAAAATCAGTCCAGAAGTTGAACTTAGATGATCCAGACCTTTTGATCTCGTTGATAACCATAGGAATAAGTCGATTTAAAAAATGAAGCAAAAAAATGCACACGAAAGTAATAGCAATAACTTTATTAACTTTTTTTTCTTTTTGCTTTAGTTTTGCGTCAATCCTGTTTAAATCCTCGTTGTTGCTAGCTCTGTTTTTTAAGTTTTCAATTAACTCTATGGCTAACAACGGTATGCGTCGGAATGTTAAGAGACCAAAATGATGCAAAATAAGATACCGAATCATCCACACTAAATAATTGGCTATCTTTAGAAGAACTTGAAACATATTGTCGTAGATTAAAAATGAAAACTCGTTATTGAAAAATTGAAAAAATTTAAAAACTACGCAAAGCCACATGATAATAATTGACAATGATTGGCAAACTTTGCACCAATAATAACGATTCATATTTTTATAAAAGTTCAAATCTTCGTCTACATACTGAAACACTCCTCTCATATATTTGTACAAAAAAGTTGCACGAAAGTTGAATGAGTGTTGTTTCTGTTCAATATTAAATTCATCAGAGAAAAGACTGTATTTTATATCAAAATTGGCCTGTTTTGTGAGAGTATTTTTTTCGGTTATCGCCATTTATTTCGACTGCTTTTATTCAACGCTATAAATTTTGTACACTACTTTAACTTTCTTTTTTTTTTATTGTTATTTTACAATTGTATCAAGTTACAAAATACGAGATAAAGTTACAAAATACTATTGGATGTCAAAAGTTAGAACAGCATCATAATTTTTGCTCTATGAGAATAGTTTTCAAAGCAATGACGTAGCCTATCAGTATGTAAAGTGTGTGAATAAACTTTTTTATAACTTTTTTATATATATTTTTTTTTCAATATGAGACTCTCTTGTCGAACCCCATTCCGACATTAAGTGTCCTTCACGTCCGCTAACTAGGATTTATTGAGGATATATAAAGAATAGGTTAGCGGATTGCACAAATACTAGTGACTTAAAAAAGGATAGGCGCATTGAATTTTTCTACATTGACTGGAGTTTTGTTTGAGCAGGTTGTCTTATAAATGATATGATATTTTTTTATGTTTACGAACCTGAATGTCACCGTCGCGACGGTGACCTTAATCCGACGCGTCGGATTAAGAGTTCGACAAGAGACCCTACAGCTATCTGAGTCGCCCTAGTTACAAGTTCTTTTTTAATGCATAATCTAATTAAAGGACTTTAAGGGGAAAAAAGTTTTAGTATTTGTTTTATTTGCAACCTATTCACGGTATTTTATAGACTTGATTGAAAACTTTAACACCATAACCTTACATGTTTTTTGTATTCATTAAAATTGTTATGCCGTAGTTTGAATAATGATAGTGTTAATTAAATGATTAATGATAATATAATTCATACAATTGATAAAAGTTTATTAGTGATTTTAACTTTTATTGAAATTTTGTTAAACAATAGTTTGACAAAAAAGCAGCTCAAATGTCAATCAATTGACTTCTAATGCCCTAATATCTATTTTTAATATTCTAATATGTGATACTATAAGTAAAATAAATACAAATAAATAAAAAAATATGTTTATATTTTCACAACTTCATATCAGTGACGGATCCAGGATATGGGGGTTGCACCCCTACCCCCCTCCCCACCAGAATCTAAAAGTTCTAAAATATCTTAGAATTTGAGGACCTTACTTTTTTTTTTTTTAAAGGCACAAATGTGGTACAAATTACAAAAATATTTCAACAAGTTACAAATATTTTAATCGTTATTGCTGTCATTTTTAATTTTTTATTTGATTATATCACTTTGCATGTGTTGATAAGTTTAATTTTTATTTATTATAGATTAGATTTTTTTATGTTATACTGTCGATTGTTTAACTAAAAGGTAAATATTTTAGTTTTTTTTTTAAATTTATCTGTAAACAAGAATATTTTCATGCATATTTTTAAAATAATTTTAGAATAATTTTTTAATTTTGGTGTTTCTTTTGGAATTATTATTATTATTTATTATTTCTTGTGTTTTCATATTTTCTCCTAGTGGTATGGTAAATGATTTGAATTAGTTATTTTTATATATATTATACAGAGGATCTACACTTTTAATATCATTTTATAAAAAAATATATATTTAAAAAAAATGTAATACAAATCTTGATATCAAGAACCTTGAAGTATTTCACAAAATTTACATAAATATTTTAAATTCTTATACACAAATATTTTAATCGTTATTGATGCCATTTTTTATTTAATTTTTAATCATATTACATTGTGTGCGTTAAAAAATATTTTATTATTTTTTATAGATTATAATTTTTATATTGAACTGTTGATTGTTTAATTGATTGTTTGTTGATTGTTTGTTGATTGTTTGTTGATTGTTTGTTGATTGTTTAATTTGATTGTTTGTTGATTGTTTGTTGATTGGTTGTTGATTGTTTGTTGATTGGTTGTTGATTGGTTGTTGATTGGTTAACTGATTGGTTGTTGATTGTTTGTTGATTGTTTGTTGATTGTTTAATTTGATTGTTTGTTGATTGTTTGTTGATTGTTTAATTTGATTGTTTGTTGATTGTTTGTTGATTGTTTAATTTGATTGGTTAAAGTATCAAAGTTAAAACAGCTTCCAAGTTTTAATTTTGATATAGATTTTTTTTTTTTTAGATTAAAAATCCCAAATTATGTCCAGAATAATCTTTTAACTGTAAAAAAAAATAATTTATAATGCCATACTAATTCCTAATTACCTTATGCAGCCACAGGTTGTGAAATCCTGCATGTCTTGCTTTGGCAATTCACACCAACTGCACGGGTGAGTAGAAGAAAGAACTTCAATTCCGAAATAAATATTCGCAAACTTTAAGTCAAATGCTAAAAAAATACTTCTTAGTCGCAATTCCCAAATTCTATGATTTGCTTAATGTTTTGGTGATTCTCTTTAACATCGTCAACAATGGTCAGAACAATAAGTTTTTTAACTCCTCCGTCATTGAACTTTTCCTGCTTTATTCCTTCTCTGTATGAGAAATTGGTTTTAGGTTCATTCACTTTACAATCAAGAATATTTAAACAAACCTTTAGAAACCCTTCTCCCCCATCTATTTCAATCTTTACAACATCATCTGGTGATACATCTCTTTTTTCCACTAAATGATTTATTTAGTAGACTAAATATTTTGTCTTAAAACACAAGTTTTTTCTTTTAGATTGGGTTCAAAAAACTCTCTTCCTTTCTATCTCCTAAGAACACTACAAACAGTTTCTGTTTGGGAATCACTTAACCCTAGTATATTTTTGAATCTTGTGACTTCACTAGCTGGCTCCTTGTTTTCAGGAAAAAAGGCTTTTAACTCTGTTTTCTTTGGAATTTTGATATTAAAAATTTTAGGCCCTTTGTTAACAAGCTTTATTAAATCACCTGCATCCACTTCAGATAGTTTTTGTTTTAGGCTTCTATTAAAAAAAAAGCTCTGTACTTCTCTCATCTGAAATATATTAATATATTTAACATAATACTTTACCATCAAAAATTGTATCAACCCACATAATACTATATTTTATTGGTTTAAACGTAAATTATTATTGCACAAGTGGTTTTAGGTTATTGAAACATTGCAAGAGTGAGATAAACCGCATAATAATGTACATAGACATCTTTAACATACAGATATGGGTAGGGGAGGTGGCAGAACTGATTCAGTGGATACTCGTCTTCCTTTTTTTCGATTTTTTCCAGATCCTGGGTAGATAGTTTTCCTTGCAACAACACAAACTGCACACTCACATGTAGGCTGACTTCTTGTAATAATTGTAGTTCTTATTCTAGAAAAATCATATGGTGCTGAAAGAGCTTTTGGTTCTTTTATGTCTTTTTCAATGAGTTCCAGAAATTTTTTGTCGGGCGAACAGATACCAGAAGGATAATGTTCTTTAGGAAAGTCTAAATTTGAGATAAAATAATTTTGAAGTCTTCTATAAGTTGGGCCAGTTATTTCTCTATTCGTTTTTTTTTTCTCAAAGCACACAATGCAAACTTTTTTTTGTTTATTTTTGTGGTTTAATGCCTGATTAGGCATCATTGGAGTATTGGTGGTACAAAATGTAGACTTTTCCAAATGTTTTAAAGAAAGTATAGATTTTAATGGTTAACTTTGATTAGCATCGATTTCCTTTTATTGATATTGATAGATTTCTTTAAATTTATTGTAAAGATTGTAACGAAATTGTTTCCCTCTGTTTGTGACAATTATTTCTAACAATCGTTTAGAATATTGGTTCACAATTGCAACACAAGCAATTCCTTTGGAGACCTATATGAAAAACTCTCTATAACGATTGCTAAACTATTCCTTCAGAGAATAATTCCGCACAAGGAAGTTGGAATAACGTTACAAGAAAACTTATTTTGTATATTTTTTTATTACAATACAAGAAAACTTGTATTGCTTAATACATATATAAAAATAAATGTTGAAGAAAAACCAACATTAATTCTCTTTCCTATAAACAAGAATACAAAACATCATACTTTGTTCTTAATAAATTTTGACACATAAAAACCTATATTAAAATGTTTGCCTCTCTGTTGTGAATATTTTAAAGCTTTTAAAATATGTAATAGTGATCGAACAATTCGTGATCGAATAAAATACTTAATGGATATACAAGGAAAGTACTGGCTTTTTTCGGTTTACAAAAATGTCTTTTTTTTTCTTGGACCTCGAAATTTTTTATCAATGGTGTTATTATTTGAAAGTAGAGGTCAGTATGGATCCAAAAAAGTCATCACATGACCCTGGGACAATTTTTTGGTTTAAACCTACTTCCACCGGGGTGTGAGTTGTATTTCATGCACTTAGTATATGTTGAAGATATGCTCTTTTTTTTTCTAAACTATAATTTTTTTTGAGTTTGCACCTCTTCTATGCACATGCCAAATTTCGTCAATTTTTTTTTTGAAGCACTACCCCTATTTTTTGCAGCACTTTTGCTACCTAAATTTTATTGTTCCGCCTTTAATTTGAGAGACAGGGTGTGTGTGTGTGAAAAGGTATTAAATGTATTTTGATAAAAATAACAATTTCATTATAATTAATAAAATAAATTTTATTAAAAAATGAATAAAAACTTTGCACGTAAGAAAAAAGGTAAGCTATTTAGTTTGTCAATTTTAGTTAGTACTTTATGTGATCTTTAAATGAAATAATTAATATTTAATATTGATTTAATAAACAAACACTGTCTATTTTTCTCATATTTTTATACACTGTCTATTTCTCTCATATTTCTTTACTGCTTTCTACTTCAGTGTTTACTTTAAGTACTTTTGATTTCTGCTTCTTACTGACAATAGTTTTTAATGACTTCATATTGTTGTGAACAAGATTGTTTGTTTTATTTATACTAGTATTATTGTTTTTATAAAGATCAATTGGAGAAAACATCGAGTAAAGAAAGTTTATTTTTAATTATACCACTTATAAATTTGATGAAAAACAGTTGAGCGTAGTCTTGTCATCAATAATGTTACTATTTTTTTGATTTTTTGACAATTTTAAAAGTTGACTGCAAAGTGTGCTTTATATAGTAGTTGTAATATTTTAGCTTTACTTGTAGTTAATAAATTTGAATTGTTTTAACTGATGTCGTGGAACGCAGTAAGTTAAATAAACATTAGTAATTTTACTTTTTTGAAACTTTAAACAAGTTGTTAAGCTAAAAACTTTAATAATATATGAAATTTATTCATTATTACAAACATATTTTATGACTCTTCCTTTTTTTTTTGTAATGTTCAGTGAACTCGACATCTAGCAATGGTTTATTTATAATTTTCAGATTGGAAGATTATTTGTATAAATTTAAAAGTTATTAAAATTATAATTTGTTTTTTTGACCTTTAGTTGTGCCTTCCTCTACTACCACTGGTAAGTTTGTAACTAATAACTTTCATAAATGTTTGTAAACGTATTTCTGGCATAAATCAAAATGTGTTAATTTCTTTTTTTTTATTCTTTATAATTTTTAGTAACCTCAACATCTAGTTATGGTAAGGATCTAAAACCTGATATTTTGATTTGATGATCAAATATATAAACTTAAATACTGGTTATATAAGCACTTCTCTAACAAACAATTTGATGTCTTAGTTGATGTAATGTCTGAAAGAATTGTTGAAAGAAAAGAGAAAAAAGAAAACAAAATTTATATCATTTCTCGGTATAGTATAATATATACAAGATGAAACTGATTTGGAAAGTTTGACTATCAAATGAAAAAGTTCCAGATTTCTGCTAATATCGTAGCAGGAGAGTTGATATTTTTCATAATCTGACTATTTGATAATGTGTTTTAATTGTTTGAATATGTGATAAAATATCATAATATTACTTATGTAAAATATTATCTATTTTTTGAAAATAAAGTCTAGTTACAGCAAGTGGTGTGACCTGCAAAATAAGTACAGCAAGTAGTGTGACGTGCAAAACTGGTACTGCAACTAGTGTGTCTTATTTGATATACAATTTTTTAATTTTTTCGATAGACGATTCTTTCATTGACAACGATTACTATTTAGTTTTATTAATGAATTTTCTTTAATTATTTACTGAAAGCCTTGACAAACTCATTACAATTTGTTTCTTATAATATATTTATATGAACAATTTTTTTGGTTTGGAGGGTGTTTAAATGCCGTCTACTCTTGGAGGGCGTTAAAACTCAATTTATTTGATAAAGGGAAGAAGAGAAAGTACACACCTTTTCATTGAAAAATGATTGGTTGGATGCATCTTGTAACGTGGTAACGTGTTTTTATATCTGTGTAAAGAATCACATTTTTTTAAATATTCACATTTTTTTCAATAATCAATATATTTTTTTAAGGTTGAAGGAGGAAGGAGGGGGGGGGGAGGGGGAGCATACATCCCTACGCTAAAGTCACTGTATTCACCATTAGTATATGTTGTAAAGTAGAGGAACTTGATTTTTATTTGTAATACTAAATTCCTTTTTTTTTTTTTAATAAATATACAAATATTTATCAATGAAACATTTTTGATAATAGATTATGTTGTTCCACCACATCTTTATCCACCCCAACATAAAAATACGCTTATCATATTTGGTCGTGGTTTAAATATTTATTATTTTCAGTTTTTATATATAAAGTTTACCAATTTCACAAAAAAGACGCTCTTCTATGGAAGAAATATGCATTTTGGGGTAGTAAATGGTGTTTCATTACCCCTCTAGCCCCGTGAATACACCCAATGGGTAAAGGCTATTAAGCCTATATATTTTTAGCCCATTGTTTCATCTATCTTTTGATTCCAAGATATAGGCATTCAGATAAGAATTGACAAAGTTATGGTAACTTTAGTGAAGAAAAACTAAATTTTGACCACAGTTTCTTCAACAAATCCATATATCAAAAATTTGTTTCTAAAATTGCATAACTTTTTGTTGAATTGTCCAATTTTGATGATTTTTTTACGTTCAAAATACTGTATTAAATGGCTTTTTAATGCTATATAACATTTTAGTGCTTAATTATTTTGAAATTTTAAATCACGTACCTAATTATCAGGCTATCAGTAATCGAAGTACATAGTTTAGAAATCTATTGATAAATGCAAAGTAGTTTATACTTTGAAACAGATAATTTTATTTTATGAAAATCGAGAATGTTTCAAAAATATGGTTGCAACGGAAAGGGAGTATTTACACGTCGGATCTTTTTTTTTTTTACTAGAAATAAATTCGAAGGTAATGCAAAAAAAATTTATTCTTCACTTCACCAAATGTGCACAAATGAGCCTGTTTCTATACAAGCAATACCTAAGAAACTATATTATTATTATTATTATTATTATTATTATTATTATTATTATTATTATTGCTATTATTGCTATTATTATTATTATTATTATTATTGTTATTATTGCTATTATTGCTATTATTGCTATTATTGCTATTATTATTATTGCTATTATTTTTATTATTATTATTATTATTATTATCAGAATTAACAACATTATGTCTAAATTTTCTAATATCAAAAGAACCTAAGCTTATTAGTGAAGAATCGAATTTGAATTTGGAAACTAGTCTTTCTGAAAAAGACACAAGGCGCTCAAAATCTATTGCAGATTGTGTATTCCAAAAACTATACTCTAAGTTAAGAAATGCAGTCTGGTAAGTCATTGATGAACAACTCAAATAGCTGTAATCCTTGAGGAACGCCACTTGTCACCTTTTTTTACTAGGGCGTTCGTTCTCTAACTATTGTTGTCTCATTGTTGCCTATTAGCTAGCCAACCAGTAATCCAGTTTAATAGCTAGCCTCAAATACCATAAGCATAAATCTTATGAAAAAATCATTGTGTTGAATGCTTCGGCACTGTGTTGAATGCTTCGGCAAAGCTGGTAAAAATTAAAATAAACCAGATCTCCACGATAAACTGCTTTCTTTAAAATGTTAGGGGATTCACTTAGGTTTGTAAATTGTAAAACATGTTAAGACTTTGATACTAGATTGTGCACAATCGTTCATATTCCTATCTATGATGTTTCACATTCCTATCTATGAAAATAAAAAATTCCTTTTTAAAGAGTAGGCGTGACAACTGATTTGCGTTGAGATTTTAACATTATATATCGAGTCGTTAAACGTTACCAAATAAAATTAATTAATTTTTTTTTTTTAATTGTTATATAAAATTATGATTCAATTCAAATTGTTTTATAGAATCATTATTTTTTCAGAATAATCATAAAAGTATTTCTGAGACTATTTTTTCTGAAATAACCTAACAAAGTTTATCTTTAATAATAAAATATTTGAATTAGCTCCAGAGCCTACTTTAATGTCATCAATAAAAAAAAGTCAAAAAAAATATTTTTTTGGTTGGATAAAAATATTTATAGTTTTATAAAACAATTATATTACAAGACTATGTCTTATATCATTACCACCACACTCTCATCCTAAAATACATCTATAATATTTGCGAATGAACTGAAATAATAAAATAATAACTTTATGCATATAAAAATTACTATTATATATATTATAAACATATTTTTTGATTGTGAAAATGGTGGTTTGTTTCTCTCCCCTGAAAACGCCCGATAGCTAAATACCAATGAAAATTTGCAGACCATTATTGAAACTATATTTGATACCAAGTTACAGGAATATAAATAACAACTAATAATGTTAGCATGGTTTAAGTTACGAAACCTTTATAAATTAATCACAGTTTTACTACAATGAATGATGAAAAACTTTATGATATTGACAGTGCAACACATCTAGCAAAGCAATAGAAGTAAAAGCTGTTGTTATATTGATTCACAATTATCCTGAAGGAATGAAACCATTGACACTTCTTTGAATTGGTTCCCAAAATAACAAATTTCTTTGTAACCAATTATTTGCTAGTAATTTTAAATAGTTCTTCCAACAATAAATAAGTTTTCAGATAAAAAAAGAGTTTTGCCTAATACATGTGGAATAGAATGGACTAGAAAATACATGTGGAATAGAATGGACTAGAAAATGGGCTAGAAAATTTAAATCTTCTGCAGAATTAAAGAGCTTCTATGTTTCGCTTATTGAGAACGGAAGTAGTTTAATAAAAGCAATTGGTAATCCAAACTTGGTTCCCAACTCCCAACTTGGATAAGACTTTTGATGCATTCAATAAATATGACATTAATGCTCATGAAAATTTAATAAAAATATTTTATGATAGTTTATAAGAAACAATTTTAGAAATAGAAGTGATGAAAAATGAACCAAAGGTAAATCATGAAGATAAGGTGTTGGTTGAAATGTACCCAAGTAAAATTTCTTTTCAAAGTATGTTTATTCAAAAATCACTTAAAGTCATTTGGGAAGAAGGATTGACTTTTATTTCGGAACAAGTTAATGCATCGTTTAAAAATCACCAAAAATCTAAACCATTGTTACAACATTGGTTTAGACTGAATCTAAAAATGAGGTTTAGCATAGAACAACAGTCAATCCCAGTCAACTTAGAACAACCTTTTTCGAGTAAAGCTAAAAACATAGGTTGTCATGAGTATAATTCGAAATGCATACAACAAATGGGCACCAATTAAAAGATGTAAAGTTGATAATTCTACTTTAGTCGAATTTTTAGCTTTAAACGGTAGCTAAATACTACCTTATTTAATACTGCATTGGTTTTTGTATATACATCTTTGACATATATATATATATATATATATATATATATATATATATATATATATATATATATATATATATATATATATATATATATATATATATATATATCCCAGCCGGCACAACTCGTTAAAAAATTACTAGTGGTTTCTGTTGCGTGTTTAAAACTCCTGAAAACACTAAGAATATCACGTGTCAAAAATAACGAAATTAACTGCCATTTACCAAAGTACGTGTTAGAATATTAAGTTTTTACTAATGGCTTCACAATTACAAAAATGGAATATTATATTATTTAAAGTTTCCGTTACGAAACCATGAATAAAACCATACAAAACTTATCGACTAGAACTGTACAGAATTCGGAAACAAAACGATTTTGTAAAAGCGTTTTCATCTAAAGCATGGTTTGTAAAAGTTATTCGGAAATAAATTTTCTCTTTACATAAATTGTGATTTTACTTTATATCACATTATTTATGTCTATTATTGTCAAATATTAGTATTTATAAATACTAATATTGTTATAAACATCAACATAAAATGCGTTATATATATAACGCATTTTATGTTGGTGTTTATAACAATATTAGTACTTATAAATACTAATATTTTACAATAATAGACACAAATAATGTGATATAAAGTAAAATCAAAATTTATGTAAAGTTTTTCAAAATTAAATTAAATTTATGTAAAAAAAAAAATGTAAATTCAAAATTTATGTATATTATAATATATCAACTATATATATATATATACATATATATATATATATATATATATATATATATATATATATATATATATATATATATATATATATATATATATATATATATATATATATATATATATATGCCTATTCATATTTGGTATGTTTTACAACAGGGTATGTGGATTTTAATAATCAAACATTTACTGGAACGAATTCTAGACAACTTGTAAATTGTTCTACAATTTTAAAAAAGCCAATGAGCAAAAATTTAATTGCTGCTGATGAAAATAATTGTATTGAGGCTCTAGTAGCCTTTTCAGGTAAAAGTTAGTACTTTTTTCAGCGTAAAATAATAATGTCACAACATCATTTGAAAATAAAAATAACCAAGATTGAAAAAACTGTCGATATGGCTGTTGGTCTTTTACAACAGCTTTTAGATAAAGGTTCAAATGTAGTTACGTTTGATCAGGTTACCTCAATGGACGACCTGATAAAATTCGAGATTATCCGTCTTAAAGACAATTTAATTAAAGAAAAGTTAACGCGGAAATTTGAAGCAATGGGACCTGTCTGCAAAGATTCAAAAGCGCATTGCTATGCAATTTTAGATTCACTTATGACCGAGGAAGTGCAATCTAAAGTTAATGTTATGTATGGTAATCACGTGCCAAACAAAAATTATACTGACCATTTGTCATTAACACACGATTTGCCTTTGATTTTTTCTTCCATTCTAGCATCGTTAGTTTCATGGAAGGTACCAGAAAAACTTTTGAAATCCTTTTTGAGTGAAAGGTTGAAGCAAGGTATGAGAAGAGCTCATGCTGCCAAAAGAGATTAAACTCTATATTCTTTATCTTTTATATTTAGTTTTTTAGT